AATCTTCTTTCTTTTTTACAAATGTGAAGCTCACATAGCCCACTTCATCATGCTTATACCAATTTTAGTACAGTTTTATTTTTATATTTTTTTTACATATCATTATACAGGGGTTAGCCATTTAACAAAAACATCACCCATGGCCACAACCCTCTACTGTATACTGCTACCTTAGTAGTGTTGGGATTTTTTTTGAACGACTAGTTGTAAAATATATAAATAACTAGAACAATGACAGGTCAGTAAGGGCCTCGTCTTGTGGCAATATATCCTCCATTATCATCAAGAAGCAATCTGCCCATATAGCTGAGCTTGACGTTTGACATTTGGACTTCAAAAAGAATCGCAAGGAAGCAAAATATACATTTTACATGTACTATGATGTGAGTCTTGTTTCCTTCCACCTCCACATTTGCTGGGCTAACAAATATGTTAATACCGGTGCAATACTCATTTGTTAGCTTTGATTTGTTTTATTTCACCTAATATACATACCTTCTCCATCAAGAGCTGGGGTCAAAGTCAGAGATCCACTTTGTCTTTGACCTTTGGACCCAAATGACCTTGACCATTAACCCAGTGACCCTGATCTTTGGTCATTTGACTTATTCTTTAATTCCGACCAACTTTGTTTAATAATATCGTAACAAAATGTTCATCAGAGAAAAATACAAAACTTGACCTTGACCCTTTGGACCCTGTAACCTGGACCTAAGGTCGGTGACTCTGTTAAGTTCTGAACAAGTTTGCTACATAATAACATAAAAAAAAGTTTATAAGTAAAAAGATACAATAATTGACCTTGACATTGACCACGTGACCTTGACCTTAAGTCAGTTGACTCTGTTAAATTCAGACCAACTTTGCTTCATAATGTCATAACAAAATGTTCATTAGTGAAAAGCTACAAAATTTGACCTTCACCTTTGATCCAGTGACCTTGACCTTTGGTCAATTGATTCCTTGTTTAATTCTGAGCAACATTGCTTTAAAGTGTCATACCAAAATGTTTACCAGTGAAAAGATACAAAATTTAACCTTGACCTTTGACCCAATGACCTTGACATTTGGTCAAGTTGACTTCTTGTTTAATTCTGATCAACTTTGCCTCATCATGTCATAACAAAATGTTCATCAGTGAAAAGATGCCAAAGTTGACCTTGTCCTTTGAACCTAATGACCTTGACCTTGACTTTTTACCTCAATGTGTATTTTCGTGAACTGAACATCTTGACCAAGTTTCATGTACATCGGTCAATAAATACCAAAGTTATCAGCCAGGAACAAAATTTGTGGACGGACGGACAGATAGACAGACAGAGTGATTACTATAGGTCACCCGTATCTCCGATACGGGGTCTTCATTATTTATTAGAAGACTCATTGAAATACAAATACCAATCAGGTTTCCAGCCTGGACATTCTACAGTACATCAATTAATTGAAATCTATGATACTTTATATGTAAATCTAGAAAAAAAACATCCTACATGTTTAGTTTTTTTGCGATATATCTGAAGTTTTTGATCGCGTGTGGCACAAGGGACTGAAAGTAAAACTAGAAAATTATGGTATTTCGGGAAAATTGTTGAATTGGTTAAATAATTATGTTAGTGATAGACAACAACAGGTAATTGTTGGTGATACTAAATCACATATGAGAAATACTAATGCTGGTGTTCCACAGTCGGTTCTAGGTCCTTTATTATTCATTCTCTATATTAATGATAATTCTGATAATCTTGTAAGCCTATCCAAATTGTCTGCAGATGACACCTCGTTATTATGTTCGGAAGAATCTCCTCCGGCTACTGAAACTAAAATTAGCAGTGATTTAATTAAGATCCAAAATTGGGCAGATAAATGGTTAGTTAAACGCAACCCTGTAAAAACGAAAGCATTACTTATTTCAAATATAGAACTTGATTATGTTACAGATATTAAATAGACAAACTCTTAATAAAATATACAGATATTATATTCTTCCATTACTAGAATACTGTTGCGGGGTATGGGATAGGTGTACTCTCTGCACGGATAATCACAGGTTTACCCTCTTATTCTAGCAAAGAATCTTTTTACTCTGAAAGTGGATTCGAACCCTTATCTCAGAGAAGATCTAGGAGAAAACTTCCAACTATTCTACAAAATTCACAATAATTTCATGCCAACCTGTCTTACTTCTCTACTGTCTCCCCTTGTCTCAGAAAATTCACAATACAACCTCCGTAATGCTAATAATTATTCTCTTCCTAATTTCCGACTTCAACTTTCAAACTCATCCTATTTCCCTTCTACAATCTGACCCCACCCCCCAACCCCCACCGTCCACTTTTGTACAGAAATTGTAATTGTACGATCTTGGTATTAATATTACGTTGGTAATTTATTAGTCGACAATCATATCATTTTTATCTTAAATGTTGATGAGTCGTATTTCTGATTTCCCCTCCCCCCCCCCCCCC